CTAGGTGCTAGTCACTTGGTCCTGGAGGTGCAGAGTGTATCTCGCAAACAGCGCACGTCTGCATTCGCGGGATGCTGTACTTTTTACGGGAACACTTGGTCCTTGATTTACATGTCATAAATTCTACATTTCAAAAAGTAGGTTCACATACCCCAATTATTCTAAAAATACTGAAACGTTTTCCAAGATGGAATAGTGTTTAAGATTCATGAGAGGTGAACAGAGTTGTGAGTCCAGTCCCCAGTTGGCTGAGTGCTCAGGGGCTTCAGGGTAGAGGCCCACTTGGACCTCAGGCCAGTCCTAGCACTGGATCTGCACAGCCAGGCACAAGAGAGGGCAGGCATTTGGGGGCCAGTCCCTCAGGGTGAGCTGGTGCTGTCGATGGAGGTGCAGGAACCCTGACCATAGCACCCTTCAGGCTCAGCCATCAGCTCTGGTGCCGTGTTGGGGTGGCCCGCAGCCAGCTCAAGCTACACGTGCAGCTGGGAAGCCTCCCGGGCAGAGTCCCCACTGACCACGGAAGGAAGCACAGCGGCCACGGCTCAGGCCCGTGGTAGAAGGAGGGGCTGGCCTCACCGGCTTTGTAGGTGAAGCTGGCGCCAGGGCTCCCGTGAGGGTCCCCCGCTTGGCCAGCAGGCAGCTGAGCTAAGGTGCGGACAGCCTCGCATTTGGACGTGCTGCCCCTGTGCTCCACCTGGGCCTATGGACCCAGCGCCTCTGTGGCAGAAGTCCCTGAATAATTCGCGAGGACTCCAGAAGAGTGCCTGGAGGTGCACACGTAACTGAGAAGTGATGTGTACTGCCCTGGGATTGCTTTCCAAATGGCGCATCCCAGGAGCAAGGCCACAGCAGACGGTGTTTGGGAGGCCAGCCACTCAACCCAGGGTCCCTCCACTCCCCCAACCCTGTGAGAGCGTCTCACTGCAGCAGGCTCCCGGGTGGTCATTCAGGGGCCTGGTTGCTCTGGTGGTGCCCTCCTGGGATGGCTCTGAAGGTCTGCGCCCATCCAGGGCCAAGCTGACATCCCAAAGGACAGAAGAACTCAGACCATGAGACCATCACACCCCTCAGTGTTAACTGAGCACTTACTACATGCCGGCTCTGTGCCGGGAGCCCAGGGTGGCAGGAGGTGAAGAGGCCAATACCGACTCTCAGGGGAGCTAAGCCAGACATGGGCATAGGCCTATGATAGCAGCCAGGGCAGAAGAGGGTGCAAGTTTGGGGCCAGCCCGGGCAACTTGGTGAACCCTTGTTTCCACCTAAGAAATAAAGCCTGGGGATATGGCTGGAGCCTCCTGGCCAGGACCTGGAGAAGGGCGGGACTTGGCTGCTGAGGTCTGGGGGCAACAGGCACAGGGCCAGGCACCTCTCCACCTCCTGTAAGTTTTAATTTCTGCCCAATAAATGATGTCCATGCCTGGTATGCGTCCTGAAAGGTGTTATTATTTGGGGGTTTTGGTGGCTTCTGTGTAGTTCAGGCTGGCATCAAATGCACAGCAACCCTGCTGTCTCAGCCTCCTGAGTGCTGCAGTTACAGGCGCATGTCGCCACACCAGCCATCTTCCTGCTGGGACAAGTGGACCTGGAGTCTCGGCAAGGAACGCTGCACATCCCCGTGCTGAGCCCCACGGGTCCCCAGAGGGAGGCTGGGCTGTGGGCTCAGGGGCATCACACCATACAACTTACACAGCAGGCCACAAGTGCCCGGTGCTCTCCCTCTTTTATGGGCAGAAAGGCCAGAGGCCATTGTGCTCCTGCCACACCGCACCAAAGCTCTGCTGCCCGTGGCCTTGCCCGTCCTGCAGTTTCCTCTGATAACAGTGAGGTCCACCTGGCCGCCCAGCCAGGGACAGGACAAGGGGCAGCTCCTAGGACAGCCAGATGGAGGACCGGTGTGTCCCAGGGGAGCAGCTCCTCTTCCTGCACCACCTGGACGATCCACTGCTCTCTCAAACCTGGGGCCGGGTGCACCAGGCCAGCACCCTGCCACGAGCCGCACCCTGGAGGTCGGGCCAGCCTGGGAGGACATCCTGGCTGGCTGGCTCTACCATGCTGGTGTGCACTGCGGCTCAGTACAGACACGTCCCCAGCTTCCACTGACCAGTTTCCAGGGCCTTGCTAAGTGGGCACCTCTGCCTCCTGGTGAGCAGAGTCCTGGGCGGGTGCCTGGGGCAGGGGGCTATGGTGGGCGTGGCGCAGCTGCTGTGGCCGAGTCTGGGAGCACAGCTGTGCCGGTGGCTGCAGTTGAGCTCTGCTTGGACTCCAACCTCTGTGGAAGCACCAAGTGGTGGGGTGGCCTTGGGGTGCACCTAAGCCAGGACCCCAGGAGCCCCCAGTCCTGGCTTGTTGCCGGTTACAGCCCAGAGAGACAAGGTCGTGCCCTGTGTTGCTAGGTTTGTCTTGTGGACAAGGTGCTCATGCACTGCAGACTGAAGCCAGGAAGGCGGCTTGGGCAGAGGCGCCTAGCAGGCGGACGGACGGGGGCTGCAGGGAGGCCAGGCTTACTGGGCCCAAACATTGTATCTCGGAGGCAGAGGCTCAGTGCTCTGTAGCTGCTGCTCAGCACTGCACTGCAAGATACTCTTCACTTATCTGACTGCTCCTGTGGGCGGAGAGTTATACACACTCTGCTCTCCAACAATCTCTGGACACACACATTCCCCACCTTTGAAGAGCATCTGCAGGGTGTGCTGAGACATCCTCCTCACTTTGTGGTGAATGGTGAACGTCGCTTTCGCTTTTGGGGAGGGAGCTGGCCAGCGTGGAAACGACTTCCCATGGAGGTCTGCGTCTCTGGCTTTTGAAAAAGGCTGGGGGGGGGGACTGGAGAGATGACTCAGTGGTCTAAAGCACCTACTTAGAACAAGCTTAGCAAAGCACAGGGACCCCGGTTCAATCCCCCAGCACCACATGCCAGCCAGCCCCGCCCCCTGGTGGGCTGAGCTGGCCACACACACACATAAATAAATAAAAATTTTTAAAAAAAGAAAAAGAAAAAGGCTGGGGGGGGGAATATAGCTCAGCGGTCTAAAGCACTAATTAAAAAAAAAAAAAAAAAAAAAAGGCTGGCAGGCCTGGGCTTGCGTCAGCTGGCCACCTCTGCTGGTCCTCGAAGCCCCTTTCCACCCGTGGCTGGTCCCACCCCCTTCTGCCTGTCCCTGCCTGCCACTTCCAGGCTGGATGAAGCCAAACTTTGATGGCCCAGGAGGGATGGACTCAGACAGGGCCTCTTCACCGGAGGGGTCAACAGGTGCTGGGCTGGAACAGCAGTTACCACTGCCCCAAGAAAAGAGATCAATCATCTTGGGGCCAGGGAGATCGTTCGGTGGAATAAGTGCTTCCTTGCAAGCACAAGGGCCTGAGTTCAATGCTCGGTTCAGCCAAAAAAAAAAAAAAAAAAAAGAAAGAAAAAGAAAAAGAGGGGCTGGTGAGATGGCTCAGTGGTCTAAAGCACCTACTTGGAACAGGCTTGGCAGAGCACAGGGACCGCAGTTCAATCCCCCAGCACCACATGCCAGCCAACCGCGCCCCCTGGTGGGCTGAGCTGGCCACACACACACACACACACACACACACACTAAATAAATAAATAAATAAATAAATACCTTTAAAAAAAAAAAAAAAGAAAAAGAAAGAAAGAAAAAAGAGATCAAACCTAAGCCCCAGCTCACTAGACTCAGCAGGGTGGTGGTGAGCTGTTCCACGTCCTCCACTAGGGCTGGCCGCTGCTGCCGCCTGTCAGGCGGGAACCCCAAGACACCCACCGTCCCCAGGGGGCGCTGCATCCTAGCAGGTAGAGATCAAAGCGAAAGGGCCACGCGGGGCGCACTTGCGAGTGGGAGCAGTGGGCTCGGGGAATCTGCGTGTTCATGCTCCCGTCTCCAAACTCGGGTCGAAGGGCAAACGATCGAACCCAGCACTCTCTCCGCAGGGGCGTCAGGGCCCGCGCCTGATGGGGCGGGCGGGGGGCCGGCGCCGGCCGTGGGGAGCGCGGGGCGGGACTGGGAGGGCGGGCCAGGCTTATAAGGCCCTCGGGCAGCAGGCGGGAGCGCCGAGCCAGAGTGCGCCCAGCCGGCTTACAGCCGGACGGCAGCGGGAGGAGCAAGAGAAAGAGGAGGAGGAGGCGCCCCGGCCGCGGCCGCTGCCCCACGTGCGTCCCGCTGTCCCGCGCCATGGCGCGCAGGGTCCCGAGCGCCCGCTCGCACCCGTAGCCGGCGGCGACCTCGGCCCCATGGAGCCGCACGTGCTCGGCGCCGTGCTCTACTGGCTGTTGCTGCCCGGCTCGCTGTTGGCGGGTGAGTGCGGGGCCGGCCTCTCCTGCCCAGTCCCGCCGGAGCGCGCAGGGTCGGGGCGCGCATTCCAACGCGAGGGCGCGGGCGGGGCGTGCGCTCGGGGAAGGGCCGTGCTGGGGAAGGGAGCGCCGATCTCTCTTTCCTCTTTTCGTGTTGAAGAGAAAAAAAAGCGCAAACTTGCATCATGACTTCCTGACAGATCTGGGAGAAAAGGCGGCTTCCTGGCTGGAGCCGTTTAATTTGGAGTTTTCCTAGCAGAACTCACGTAGCTCAGGCCTCCGCAGGCCGAGTGGGCGGCAGCCTCTTCGCTTTGGAAAAGTTGTAGGGGTTCCACCTCCTTCTGTCCTACTTGGGCGGGCTCCAAGGGGTTGTGTAGGCCTGTGCCCGGGCCCCAAGCAGAGGCCCTGCCAGGATGCTTGGCCGGGGTGGGAGCTGGGAGCCCCGACCCCCGGCGCCTGCGTCCCTGCCGGCCAGCAAAGCCTCGAGCCCGCACCCGTCCCTGCCTCCAGTGCCCGGCACAGCCTGGGACAGGCGCTGACCCTCCCGCCCCGACAGCCAGTTCCCTCCGCATGTGGCTGAAGTGCGGGGAAGAGCGGGGTGTGCTCTGTCCGCGGTGGGTCCTCCTCCCACTCTTCGCGGGCCTCTGCAGCTTGTGGGAGCCACAGCCCTCCCTATTCTGGGCTCCAGGGACGTGGGGACCAGCGCGGGCCTCGCTGTGGCCTCTCGACAGATTTCAGCTCAGCTGGAGTGAGACTCGGAAAAATTTCAAGGCAGGAATCGAGAAAACCATTGAGGTTGAAAAGGAGGGACTTGGGGGACATCCTGGTGCCTCAGTCCAGCGTGGACCGCGCTGACCGGTCAGCGGGCTCACAGTGAGGGCTTGTTTCCTTCACTGCGCCTGTGCAAACGGAAAAGGCCAACCTGGTGGGACTGCCCCACGCTCTGGCTAAGGTCTGGGAGCTGCCAAAGAGGGGGCGGGAGGCGAGTCCTGCTCACCTGCCTGCTGGAGGCAGGCGCCAGGTTCAGGGACGGGAAGCTCCTTCGCAGGCGCGGAAGAAGGGCCTCTTCCGGGGGGGCTTCCCTCACCGCGCCAGTCCTGGGGCAGTGTTGCCCGGATGGAAATGTTTTCACATTACAAGACCTCCTGATATTTTTTCCAGCCATTAAAAGTGTAAAATCCATCCCAAGCAAGTGGGTGGCACCAAAACAGGCGGTGAGGCCACAGCAGGCTGGTAGCCAGGATGTGGGTGCGGCCCCAGCTTCTGACGGCCCTCTTCGGCCAGTTGGGTAGGAGACTGGGGCCCGACCCCCTTGGGGGCCCCCCAGATCTCCCCAGGGGCGGGTTTCACACCCAGCTGTGTGTTAGTCACCTGGGGAGCCTTCGGAAAATACTGATGACTAAGGCCTGTGCTTTCCTCGAATGGAATGCTGCCCCCAAATAGTTTGCGAAACGCGGTGCCCCTGCCACGCCCTGCCCTGGCCCCAGCGTGGGGGCCAGCCCTCACCATTTCTCCTCCAGCTCTGGAGGCACCTGGAGCCCTGCCTGGGACACCAGAAAGCTTCGGGGCCTAGGCGGCTCCTGAGAGGCGGGCTGATGCCTGCCTGGGTGGAGGTCTCCTCCCTCACTCTTGTGGTCTGGAAACCCCGGTGGCTGGGTGGCTCCGGCCTGGGGGAAACTTGAGTCGCCCTCCCGCCCTCCCTTCCTCCCTCATCCTGGATTGCTACCTGCAAAGCCGGGCAGAGCACAGCCCCACCCCCAACCCAGCACAGTGACTGGCCTCCCTTGTCCCAAGCCCTGGGGGATGAGGACACAGCTGGAAGCCTCTAGAGCCGCCTGGACAGGATGTTGTGTGTGGATAGGCAGGACCGTACCTCCTGATTCTGGCCTGACAGGGCAGCCAGAGCCTACACATCAGCCCTGGCACAGCAGGAGCCAGGTGGTGACACAGGGCAGTTCTGATGACTGTGGGAGACACAGTGGTTGGCCACCATGGCTTCTGCTGATGGGACAATCGCAGCAGGGCTGGGGCACGCCCACTGCAGACATGCTCAGTGGCACCTGGGCCTGACTGTCACTGCCATGTGTCACTGTTTGCACAGGGACAGATCCTTCTTGGGGAGCATTTCACCATAACTGTGTATTGGGCAGTGCTGGCAGGAAGGGGTCCTTGGAGCCACAGTGGCATGTCACAGTCCCTCACAGTCCAGTCTGCCTTGTCTGGGAACAAGAAAAGAGGCCAGCCTGGCAGCAGGGATGGTGGAGGCTCGCAGGGGATAGAGTTTGCTGATGGCCAACCTGAGTCTCAGTGTCAGAACCTGGCAGCCGCAGAGCTGGGCTGAGTCCCACTTCCCTGTGGGTCCTAGGGGCTCCCTGCTGAGCAGCAGCTTCTTGGCCTCTGTGCTGGGCTGCAGAGACCATGAGGAAGCAGGACGGTGAGTGTGTGAGCACACAAGTGTGTATATGTGTGTTCAGGGGAGCTGGGGCTGGGTGGCCACAGCTTCCCCATGGTGGTCACTGGCGTAGGGATCCTGAGCTGATCCTGCAGAGGAAGTGGGCTGGGCGGAGGTGCTGGTGCTGATGCAGGTCCGGCCTGGGCTGCTTCCTGGGCGGGTCTCCTGTATTGACACAGCACCAAATTTCCTCTTGGGGCTGACTGAGAGGAAGATGGCTGTGTGTGTGTGTGTGTGTGTGCGTGCGCGCGCGTGCGCGCCTCCCCAACCCTTTTTAATTTTTGAGCTGTGGTATCACTAAGCTTCCCAGGATGGGCCAGGACTTGTGCTCCTCTTGCCTCAGCTTCCTAGAGAGCTGGGATTGCCAGTGTGTGTTCCCTAAGGACCCTGACACTGAGTCTCCCAGGCCTCTGTCCTCTGTTCAAGAAATACAAGACATTGGGGCAGACAGACAGACAAGTATTAAAGCAGTCTGTGTTTCATCGTGCAGAACCCAGTCACTAGTGTGCAGCAGACAGTGGCACGGGTGTCCTGCTCGCTCCTCTGGGCACAGCAGGCTCAGCCTGTTCTGTTTCTCTTTGGGCCGCAATATTGACCAGGTTGCCTGCTCTGGTGCAGCCGAAAATGTCTCAGCCTGGGTCCCCTGCAGCCTGAGTTGAATGGGGCCAGGACCCCATCTTCCTCACCTGCTTTCTGTCCTGCCTGTGACCTTGGAGTCCCATCAGCGCGACAGCAGCTGCCCGGGAATCTATGGGGTGCAGTACCTCACCAGCTGGAGTCACCAGGTGGGAGGGGACAACATGAGGACAGGGCTTCCCATCCAGGTAGGGCAGGTTAGTCCACACCTCCCTGGCAGATGGACCCGTGGGGTGGTGCCCGGGGCAGAAGGTCAGGGAGGACGTGGCAGAGTGGGAGCAACCTGGGTGGAGGTTCGGGCACCCGGGGCCACGGCCTCTGTGTGTACTCTGAAACTGCCCAGCCTGGGCCTCTTCTGGGCTTTAGTATCCTACTAGCAAACGAGACCATAAAAGCTTTAAAGGCTTGCAGGCCTCTGATCTCTGGTCTCAGGCAGTGGCTCTCACGCCACAGCTGGTGCTGTGGGTGTGGACAGGCAGGCCCTTCTTCCACAGTCCCAGGCCAGAGCACGGGCGCCTTCCCAGCTGTGTTCACTCCTGGCCAGGCACTGGTGGTCTGTGGCCAGGTCTGGCTCTGGGGGACCAAACAGAAGGCAGCCACCCACTGCCTGGTCCCTGGGGCACATGGGTGTCTCGGGGGGGGCGTGAGGCAACCCAGCTGCCTGCACACAAGGCTGGTCTGGACCCCTGTGCACGTGGATGGCCCATTCTGCATCTGCAGATGTGTTCAGGGTCTCCTCGCCTGGGTCTCCTGGGATGGCGCTCTGGCTGGCAGCCAAGAACCCAGTCTGTTGGAGGATGATGGTGTGAATGGGAGCCCAGGCTTAAGAGCCCCTCTCACCAGACCTGACAGTTCTTCCTGTGCAGAGCCCAGAGAGGCAGAGAGGTGAAGTGTAAATGACCTTCCAGAGGGGTTCCCAGTAACACCCTCCAAAATGGGGCCCTCATAATGTGTAAAGAGGGTTTCCTGCCAATAGGTCCATAATAGTGTTCCCCAACAACACTGGTCCAAGGGAGAAACTTCCATTAATGCTATCCACAGCAGTCACTGATGGGCCCCAGGCCAGGCACACTAGCACAGTGGGTGTGTGGCAGGGCTGGGCCTTTGCTGTTGGCTCTGACACCACCGGTGTGGCCAGAGGCAGGGGGCTGTGCATGCCCAAGCAGGAGGATGGCAAGGCGTCCAGGGCCCCTGAGATTGTGCGCTGGTGACCTGGTGGTTGGGTATTTCTGGGGTGACTCTAGATCTCCTTGGTGGGGTCAGGTGGGGCAAGATGAAGCCAGTCTGCTCCCGCCACTCTATCCTCTAGAGCAGGCTTCAGGGAGAGAGTGGGCTGGGCACCTCGCCCCAGTTTCAGTGAATAGCCGTGGAATGTGGTAGCAAATGCCCCAGCCTATCCGAGGGCCCTGGGGATGCAGAGCCTCCACTGGGCCAGCCCTGCATGTTTGCTCTTCCCTACACACTCAATTGGACCTGTGGAGTTCAGTTTACACGTCAGGCAGGCCCAGAGACTGACCACAGTGACTAACAATAGAACGCAATGCTGGTAACCACAAACTGCAATAAAAGTGTGGAAGAACGTACCATTGTTCATTTCTGCCATTCTGCATTTAGGGTTTCAGACTCGTTTAGCTGTGGGCATCTGAAACTCAGGCAGGCCTGTTACAAGTCCTCTGTTGACACGTTTTTTAGTACCGGGGATTGAACTCAGGACCCTGCGCTTGCCCGGCAAGCATTTATTCCACTGAGCTATCTCCCCCGCCCCAGTTGACACTTATTGCAAAAATGAAAATATTCAGTCCCAGAAGCTGCAAGTCCCCCGCACAGCCCTAAGCCTCAGCCCATTCTCTGAGGCCTTGGCCTTTGGGCAGAGCCTGGAGTCCAGGTCTCAGCTGAGCGTGAGCAACAGTCCAAGC